TCTAAGTGTATTTTGATATAAATATATATATATTAATTTTAAAATACAGTTAGAATAAAATTTCATATAGCTATATAATTTTTTTTAAAATTTTTATTATTATTTTTAAAAAATTTTATTTAATTTAAATTACTTATTATTTATATTTTATAATAATATATATATACAATCTATATAGTTATTATATATATTATATATATACGTGTGTAATTTAATTATAAGTGTATTTTTATATTAATATAAGTACATATTAATATAAAAATACACTTAGTATGGCATTATATATATGATATATAGACATATATTATATAGATATAATATATGTCTATATATCATATATACACATATATAATTATTATTATTTTTTTTATTTACATTAACTTTATTTATTTTTTTTGATTTTACACTAGCAGGGAGACTGCCTGTCAGCACAGGCAGTCCCCCTGCAGGCAGCACTATGGACACCCATTGTGACCATGTGATCGCTGTGTTAAGCGATCACATGGCCCCAGGGGTCCTAAATCAGTGTGGGGAGACTGTCTGGGCTGCAGGCAGTCTCCCCACACCGGGAGCAACACTGATCGCCGCCGGGGGAACCACGGCGATCAGGTAAGTAACGGAAACCGTTAGGACGGTTCAGGACCGTCATCGGTCCGCAATGGGAAAATCCCGATGACGGTCCTGAACCGTCCTCGGTCGGGAAGGGGTTAAGGACGGAGCCAAATGTACACGTTGTGAACGAAACAAAATGTAAACAAAACCTGGCATTTACGCTACATGTCTGTCCGACCGTAATACACCTCTTTTATACTAAATGCACCCACCCTTATTATATATCATTTTATTCAGGGGAAACAGGGCTTTCATTTAATATCAAATATTTAGCTATGAAACATAATTTAATATGAAAAAAATGGGAGAAAATAAGATTTGTTTTGATTTTTTTAGTTCTACATGACATTTTAACGGTCAGTGTCATAATACTGTTTGCTTTTACTGCAATAAAATACACATATTTGTATTCAGCAAAGTCTCACGTGTAAAACAGTACCCCCTATGTACAGGTTTTATGGCGTTTTGGGAAGTTACAGGGTCAAATATAGCACGTTACATTTGAAATTGAAATTCGCCAGATTGGTTACGTTGCCTTTGAGATTGTATAGTAGCCCGGGAATGAAATTTACACCCATAATGGCATACCATTTGCAATAGTAGACAACCCAAGGTATTGCAAATGGGGTATGTCCAGTCTTTTTTAGTAGCCATTTGGTCACAAACACTGGCCAAAGTTAGCGTTAGTATTTGTTTGTGTGTGAAAAATGCAAAAACGCCAATTTTGGCCAGTGTTTGTGACTAAGTGGCTACTAAAAAAGACTGGACATACCCCGTTTGCAATACCTTGGGTCGTCTACTATTGCAAATGGTATGCCATCATAGGGGTAATTTTCATTCTTGGGCTACGATAGGGTCTCAAAGGCAACGTAACCAATCTGGCGAATTTTAATGTGAAAAAAATGAAAAACAAGCCTTATACTTGACGCTGTAACTTTTGAAAACACCATAAAACCTGTACATGAGGGGTACTGTTGTACTCGGGAGACTTCGCTGAACACAAATATTTGTGTTTCAAAACAGTAAAAAGTATCGCAGCAATAATATCGTCCGTGTAAGTGCTGTTTGTGCGTGAAAAATGCAAAAAACTTCACTTTTACTGGCGATATCATCGTTGTAATACATTTTACTGTTTTGAAACACTAATATTTGTGTTCAGCGAAGTCTCCCGAGTAAAACAGTACCCCCCATGTACAGGTTTTATGTTGTGTTCAGCGAAGTCTCCCGAGTAAAACAGTACCCCCCATGTACAGGTTTTATGGTGTCTTGGAAAGTTATAGGATTAAATATAGTGCTATTAAATTCCCTATACTTTCGGCATGGGTTGTCAGGCAGGTCCCGCTAATAGTAATTAATTAAAATACCTAATTATTTAAAAATATTACATAAATTTATATGTAGAATTAATATATGTGTATATATATATATATATATATATATATATATATACACGTATGTGTGTGTATATATATATATATATATATATATATATAATTTAAAAATATATATTTTTATTTATATATAGGTATATATATATAGTGATATATACATATATATTTATGTATATAGATATATATATTATTTCGTTCTACGTGTGTTTTGATATAAATATATATATATATATATATATAGTAATATCACAATACAGTTAGAACGAAATAACACACATCTATATATTTTTTATTTATTTTTTATTATTTTTTTAATTTTATTTAACGTATTTACATATTTTTTTATATTATATATAAATATATATAACAATAATTATATATATATTTAATCAGTATCAGTTTACGTGTAATTTGATATTAATATATATATATATATATATATATATATATATATATATATTAATAGTAAAATACACCTAGACAGTGTATGTGTGTGTATGTATATGTGTATATATATATACTTAGATCATATATATATATATATATACAATATATATATATATATATATATATATATATATATACACTATATATATATATATATATATATATATATATATATATATATATATATATATATAAAGTGTGGCAAACCTAGCCACTTGTGATAACATGGACTATATGTAGAAAAAGATTGCATGTATTATTCTCATAACTTCTTGCATATATATATATATATATATATATATATATAAAGTGTGGCAAACCTAGCCACTTGTGATAACATGGACTATATGTAGAAAAAGATTGCATGTATTATTCTCATAACTTCTTGCATTCCCTGGCTGTACCCTGTGTATTATTGTATGTATATATTGCATTAGTCTGCTAGCAGCCGAAAGCTGCTAGCATTCATGTGTTTCGTTTCACGAACAGCCACTTTACAGGCTGTTTGTGAACCGAATGAGCTACCCCCTAATAGCCCACACAGAGAGGGACGTGTGGCGCTTGTTAACCGATTGCAACAATGTTGCAATCGGTAACTAGAGGCTCTCCTAGGTGGCCGCCATTCGGCTACCGACCACACGGCGGTTGGCCATCTTGGATCCTTTGTCTCCCCAGCGGTGTTTGGTTGTCGAGTGCATGGAACTGAAAACGGCTACTCGACGGCGCGAACACCGCTGGACTTCCAGGCCGTTCGAGAGCTCCGGTCTTTCGCCATTAGGGTTCCCCCATCGGTGTTCGGTACTTTGGGGCGAACTCAATGGCAAAGTGTATTTCATGTGGCATTCGGTTGTTTTAGCTGGGATCTGAGCGGTATTCTCACGAACTGTGCACTCAGATCCCAGCTATCTACCGAACGTCCATTCGTTTAAATAGACTAAGTATTGCAAAAGTTATGTATTTAAAAGTGAATTGTCGGTTCTGCTGCACGGAGGGATAATCCACTTAACGGTATATTCCAGTGGGAGTATCCCTCTCGTACAGCAGTGCCTGATGGGAGAAATGCCCAGAATGTTAAGTCCCCCATGTAGTCCCCTAATGTGTTACCCCTGCTATGTCAGTAGGGAAACCCCTTGCATGGGGACTTGCATAAATACTGGATGCTGTGAATAAAAACCTCAGTTGACTCCCAGAACTGTGTTTCGTCCGGTTACTGGGGGATTTGGGATATTGCCTTACTTTCCAGCGCTTTACTTTGGATTACTTTCTTAACCAGCGGAGATCGTGGGATTTAATATTGCCGCTCCGCTACACTAAATATATATATATATTTTTTTTTTACACTGATTTTAATTTTATTTTATTTCATTTCCAGCCAGCAGGGGGACTAACTGTCATTACAGGCAGTCCCCCTGCTAGCAATGCAGCAGCCAGCTAACCTGGCCATGTGATTGTGAGGTCCTCGCAAGGAACTCACTCTCACATGGCCGGGGTGGGACCGGAGGAGGCAGGATCCGCCACGGGGGACTCCCTGGGATCCCAGGTGAGTCTCCCCAACCGCGATCGCCGGCGACCGGGTAAGTAAGAAAAAAACGGAGGGCATACTATTACGCCCTGCAGCGTTTTGAGCCACTTAAAATAGGGCGTAATAGTACGCCCTCCGGTTTTAAGGGGTTAAGGGGAACTGGCTGGATCATTATAATTATTATCATTATTATTATTATATTTGTTGTTGACAAACTCCAAAGGTCAGGTCGTACAATAGTTATGAATTGTATTGAAATTCATTATTGAAACCAACATCTCTTTATACTCAGAAGTTCTGCCATTCGAACCTCACTGTTAGGAAAGCACACCGGAAAAAAAGGAGATGATTTAGGAGAAATTAAAATCTTTCCTTTTTCTGCGCCACATTTTTCCAGTTTCTGCCCTACGTGGCAGTATGTGTTCTGTGCATTTCTTTTGTCATTTTAAATTGCGGTGCTGGTAATGTATAATAAAAGGTTTTTTTACAGCGCCTAGGTATACTCAGAGCTGCTTACTTTTTCTCCTGTTACAATACGGAGGAGGTATGACTCCAGTAGTGGTGGACTTCCCTTTTTAAAAAACAAAAACAAAAAAAAAATCCACAATGGTTTACATTGCAGAGTTAAAAGGACTGGGTCACTGCCCTCAGATCACTTCATTTTATAATTACGTCTTATTTTTCCTAGTAATATTACTAATTTTTCATAGATTGTTAATGCCAGCAATGTCAATGGTAGAATATTCAGAGGGAAATAAATGAACGAAAATGTATTGAATTGTTCGAGCCCAGACCTTGAAGAAGCTTAGAAGTCTTGCTTCTTTTTTAGACCAAACCAAGTGTTTGCCTGAATATCTGCCCCTGTTCAGACTGTTTGAAATAAGGTGCGTGCACGCTGAAGTAAATCACACTGAGACACAGGTTTCAGGTAAAGGAAAAACTTCAGAATGTTTACTTAGAGGGGTGGCAAGCCCTTTATAAAGCACAAAATACATCATATGCAAAACATGAGATAACATAGAAAGTACATCTTTAATTGGTCGAGTGTTAAGTGTCTTATCTAATGCACTTCCTCCAAAATGTGATGTCACCATCATCTCGGGATTTTACTCCTGATGGAGACGCCATCTTGTTACACAAGGTGTTTGGTCGATGGGAGGGGGTTCTCTAGCAGCCATTTTGAGTAAATACTGAATACAGGTATACATAGTAAATAGACATTTTACCTACATTAATTTCTATCCATAACACTCCTATTCCCAAGGACTGGACTGAATTGTTTTGATTGTCTGGTATTGTCACCTCGTGCCCGAGAGTTTTTGGAGGAAGAATATCCTTCTTTCCATGACTGGAACCTGGAGAACTCTCTACCGGGCTTGTACCGAAAGGAACGTTTGTCCTGGGGATAGGATCTCTTTGGTCATATGTCATGAGGAAGAAAAGCTTTACATCCTTTCACTGCTCTTTTCATACATTTGTCAGGATACTTGCCAAAAAGCATATCCTCTTGGAAGGGAAGGGCACATAGGCTATTTTTTTGAAGATGTATCTGCCACCCAATTACATAGCCAAAGAGCATGTTTTGAAGCTGCAGAAAGGGCCAGGCTTCTGGAGATGGTTCTAACCAAATCTATAGCACCATCTGTTGAAAGGTCAATAGCCATCTCAAATTTATTCAAGGATTCTAAAAGTCTGGATCTACTGAAATGTCCTCTTCGAGATCGTCCAGCCATTGTTTTAAGGCTCTGGAAACTGATGTCCTGGCCACGGACAGGCAAGATAGATTAGAATCGTGGCGATTGTCCACAGACTCTCGTAATGATTATGCATTATCTACTGGAAGGATGGTCTTTTTGGCCAGACGAAAAATAGTGTAAAGTTTAGAAAATCAACCCTGGATAGAGACACTATAGGCACAAAAACAACTTTAGCTTAATGCAGCAGTTTTCGTGAATATATTATGCACCTGCAATCTCACTGCTCAGTTCTGCCATTTAAAGGACCACTATAGTGCCAGGAAAACATACTCATTTTCCTGGCACTATAGTGCCCTGAAGGTGCCCCCACCTGCCGGCCTCTGGGGAGAGGAAGGGGTTAAACACTTACCTTTCTCCAGCGCCGGATGGGGAGCTTTCCTCCTCCTCTCCTTCTTCCTAGCGACGTCATCGGCGTCATCCGCGCGCGCATTCAGCCAGTCTCATAGGAAAGCATTCATAATGCTTTCCTATGGACGCTGGCGTCTTCTCACTGTGATTTTCACAGTGAGAAGCACGCAAGCGCCTCCAGCGGCTGTCAATGAGACAGCCACTAGAGGCTTTAGAGGCTGGATTAACCCTCAGTGTAAACATAGCAGATTCTCTGCAACTGCTATGTTTATAAAAAAAAAAGGGTTAATCCTAGCTGGACCAGGCACCCAGACCACTTCATTAAGCTGAAGTGGTCTGGGTGCCTATAGTGGTCCTTTAAGGAGATAAATCACTTTGTTTATACAGTCGTAGTCACACCTCCCTCAATGTGAGTTGCACAGCCTTTCTAAACACTTCCTGAAACAAAACTTGGAAGTTCTAGGTTATTCTTATTTCACAGTCTTTAATTTCTCTAGAATTTCACATCTCCTGATCTGTTAATAGCCTCATAAAAGCTACAGGAACATCCTATGTGTGATTAAAGCAGTGGCGTACTAAGGGGGGGAGGGGGTGGTCCGTCCTCGGTGCCACTCTGTAGGGGGGTGCCTGGGGCGCTCTTTGACATGGGCGGCTTTTTGCGGCCCCTGTGTCTTATGCAAAGGGACCCGCCACTTAGAGCAGTCTCCATGTTTGTGTGACATCAAGCAGCAGCAGGTCTTCTGTTCTCACGGGTTGCAATGGCAATGCTCCGCGCTCAATGCATGCCGAAGCTTTGCCATGGCAACCCCAGGATCACTCTGCAGATCGTGAGAACAGTGCCCTTATGCTGGAGGTGGAACAACCATGGAGACTCCTGGGCCCCTCTTCACTAGACATCTATGATGTGCCACCGGACCACCAGGGAATGTAGTGACCCTTCCACCTCCCTGGACACAGGTAAGAGGCAGGGTGGGACCCAAACAATACAAACTGCTCATCCCAAGCACTTATCACACACACACAACACCCCCCCACTGCATACACTATACACACATGCACACACACTGCATACACTATACACACTTACTCCATACACTACAAACACACTGCATACTCAACACACCATACACTACACACACAAACACCCACTGCATCCACTACACAAACACTGCATACACTATACAAACACACAGAATCCATACACTACGCAGACACAAACTGCATCCACTATACAAACACATACTGCATCCACTACACAAACACACACACCTATAACTGTGTGTCTGTGTATCTGTATGTGCCAGTGTTTGTATCTGTATGTGTGTTTGTATCTGTGTATGTGCATGACTGTGTTTATATATTTCTGTATATGTGTATCTATGTGTCTGTGTATCTGTATGTGCCAGTGTGTGCATCTGTGTGTCTATGTATCTGCTTGTGTGCCAATGTATAAAGCATACAACTCAGCATTTCGCCAACCAGTGGCGTACTAAGGGGGGGAGAGGCGGTCCACCCCAGGTGCCACTGGGTGGGGGATGCCATGACCCTGGTGTGGGGGCTGTGTGAGCTGTGGCCGCACAGTGCCCCATGGTAGTTAGGGTGCCAGAACAGCTCACACTCGCAAGGAGCAGCTGAACTGGCCGCACGGAAGGAAAGTGTTTGGGGGGCTAAGCAAAATCGGGGGCGGAGACAAATTGGCAGTGGGGCGGGGCTTAATACGGCCCTTACCCGCTGCTGTTACTGCTGCACATGGAGGTGCAGCAAGATGGAATCCCTCCAGGCAGGGAGGGAGGCAGAGAGGACCCGGGGAGCTCTTGTCAGCAGCTCCGCCGTGTTCCTCTTGCGCGGTCGGAGTGTTGCCGCAAATACAGCGGCAACGCTCAGATCTCGCAAGAATGAACTCTAGCCCCACAGGGGGCTAGAGTTCACTCTCCACTGACCCACCAGGGATGGCAGGAGCACGTTCCCCCCTTCCTACATAAGGTAAGAAGGGAGGGGGGATATTAACTAAACGGCCCCCACACTCCCACACATTACACACAAACATACAGCACACACACATACATCACCCTTACACACACTAACAGCACCTTTACACACAGCACCCTCACACACACACACACACACAAAGCCCAGGATCCGCCCCGGGTGCCAAATGCTCTGGTACGCCCCTGTCGCCAACACTACACACAAATACACTCCTGCATCTAAATTTCAACTCTTCATATAAACACACCACCATATTAAAAAAAACACACTACACAAAAATGTATGCCTGCATTCAAATGCCAACACTTCATGCAAAAAAGTTGGGGGGTGCCAAATATAGAATTTGCTCCAGGCATAGTTGCCAACTGTCCCGTTTTTGCCGGGACAGTCCTGGCAAGCTGGAGTTTGTCCCGGGTAAATTACCCTCCCGGGACAGTCCCGGCAACTTGCTGGCCATGTTCTTTTATGTTCCCTTGGACTGTAACAGCCTGTTACAGTCCAAGGAAATCTAGGAGAGAGCTGCTGAGGGCTGAGAGGAGATGCTGAGGCTGTTGGGGGCACTGACACTCTCCCTTCCGAATTCCCAGCAGCTCCCCGGCACACAGGCTGCGGCTTCGCCTCCATACCAAGCTCCGCCCCTGTTTTTGAGCAGCAGACCTTAAAGAGGCCAGAAAAGGGATGTGACCACAGTTACAATCAGCCTCCAGAGAGCCTGTTCTACACCAGGCCAGTGGAGCCAGACTGCAGCCAGAGCCCATCACCATCCTCATCATCTGCTTATAAGTAGGCCATCTATTATACACACTGTGTGCAGCACTGGCGTTAGTTCAGATGGCAGATCATATTAGTGGGGCATTGTGCAAACTTTTCTTTTGCCTAGGGCGGCAAAAATCCTTACACCGGCCCTGGATACAATCATGCACTCTGCACATTACTGTGAGTTGTTGTTTTTTGCTGTGATACAGTCATATACACTACACATTTCTTGAAGCTTTGTTGCTGAGGAGCTCTGTGAAACATTTACATGACTCCTGCCATGGAGTTCTGTGATGTATTCCTATAGCCACATCTCCCAACAGTCCCAGTTCTGGCAGGACCATCTCGCCAACTCTGGCTGGTTTTTGGGCCGCTCAAATCCAGGGACAACAAGGAAGTGTCTCCAGTGATCACATTGCTAAACATGCTTCCACTGTGCTGAATGACATCAAGACAATGCACAATTTCGTACCTTCAACTTTTGGTACAAATGGTTCATACTTCAAATTAATGTAAGCTTAATTGGCAAGAATGTCTAAATTTATCCCGCACCTCTAGTCCACATCAAAAAAATTCTCAATAAGCAACGTGTTTGAGGAAAACCCTGAGCTTCAAAGCAATAATGCTCATACAACTATTTTAATTGCTGATCATTTAATGGTCAGTAAACTTTTTTATCAAATTATATCTGAATTCCACACCTCTAGTGGCTGTTTTCCAGTTTAGTTCCTTGCTGTCTTGCATCAGGGGGCAAACAAGGGAACTGTCCTTGTACAGCACAGGTGCGCTCACACTGTGTACAGGCACTAGGACCCTGCTAAGAGTGTTTCAGGAGCATTCTATGCAAGTTCCTGTAGGTTGGGGCTGGGCCTGACTGGCCCATTTAATCCATCGGTCTGTTCCTTTTCTGGTCTAGCATGCCCACTATGGGAGTTATCAGTGATATCTTTCCTTCCAATGTTGGGTGATATAGTGATTAGAGGGTAGCCCAGTGTTTGTTTGTGCTGTGTTTATGGAACGGTAGTATCTGTGCTCTTCACTCTTTCAGAAAGTCTAAGGTAATTGCAATAATAGCGGTCCCCTGCATTTAAGTTTGGCATAGTCTACCCTCCCCCATACAGGATTTCTAGAGATGCCACTGTCATTGAAGTGTGCCGCATGTGTGAACAAAACATGAGCAAAGTATAGTGGCACCTTGCACCTGTCAGATCTCTATTAGATTTATTCAAAGTGCATTTCAAATTTAAAGCTGCTTTGTCACCCCCTCCCCCACTAAAACAAATAGTATTTCATAAAGAAAGAATCTTTATGAAATACTCATAACTGTGTTGGAATTTCACTGTAAACTTATTAAACTCACATTTACCTGTCCACCAGTGGTGATTTAAACATCAGGTGGCTTTG